AGTGGTTGAGCGCTGGGTTGCGAAGCTGCCTGCAGCCTCCACAGTGCCGGTTCGATCCCAGGCTGCTCCCCGGCCACTGGAGGAGGGTCCCACATGGCGCGCAGACCTCTCCTGCCGCCCGCTGCTCCCCTCAGCAGTGTACTTCGGTCCCTCTGCCTGCTCTGCTCCCCGCTCTGACTCTGGTGAATTCTCTCACCCTCCCGCGCTTCTGACTGTACCCAGTGCTTGTATAAATAAATAAATAAATCTTTAAAAATAAATAAATAAATAGATAGCAAAGTCTGCGAAAAGCAACATTTAAAAAAAAATTTAGATTACCTGAACAGTCTTTAATTTGTTATAAGAAACTAGTGAAAGCAATTTTTGAATACCTCAATTTTTATATATATATAAAAGAATGGAAACCTGGTGTTACATGGGTGTACACTACTGATACCCAAGTGAACCAAAATATTCCATAGTAAGTCACCTGAGCACACAAAATTTCTCACTAAAATCTCTCAGACCTTCAGCACTTGTTTTCTTTTTTTTAATACCATTTCATTTACCCATCCTACTTTAAATTATCTTAAAGACCTAAGAATATCTACCTTCAACATATTTTTTTCCAAACATACACACCTGAACTCACTTGCATTTAGAGTTATTACATCCTAGTTTTTACCCTCTACATTGTAAGAGTTGTTATACTATTATCTCTTTAGACTAGACAAATTACACAAATACATCCTTTAATTTTTTTTTTGAGATGACATTAAACTTTAGCTCCCTTACAATAAGGAGCAAAAAGGAGACTTGAAAGTTTAGTTTCCTTATAATAAGGAGCAAAATGTAAACCTCAAAGTTCAGTTTCCTTACAATGAGGAAAGTAATTTTAGATATTTAAGAAGTTATCATTAGTATTTTTCGGCAGATGATGAAAAGGGCAGATTTAAGGTTGAGTAATCAGTTGTAGTTTTTTTAGGACTGGAATTCCAAATTGTAAGGCTGATAATGGAACAATTACATACATTGAGGTTTTTTTTTTTTCAGGCTGGCAAATAATTGAACACACATTAGACAGGATGGTAAAAGCAAAAAAATCAGAGGGGCCTCCCTGGTGGCACAAGGGGTTAAGGTGCAACCTCTGAAGCTGTTCACCCACCAGGGAACAACCCATATTGTTCAACAGACCTCTCCTGACTTGTCCGCTGCTTTCCTCAATAGTGTACTTCGGTCAATAGGTCAATATGTCTGTTCTGTTCCCCACGCTGTCTCTGGTGAATCTTCTCATGCCCCCACACCTCCGTCCTGTACCCCAGCTCTTGTATGCATAAATAAATAAATCTATAAAAAAAAAAGAAAGACTTAATGTGACTCAATAGTTTGTCCACCTGGCTTTAGATATCATCTGGATTTCAGCTAGGACCAAGAGGAAGAAAGTTAAGACTTTTTTTTTTTTTGAGGAAAAACAAGTTTCTTCTACAGAGACAAGCCAATTTGTGTTCCTGGAAAAGAACTTGGTTAAGAAATGTCTAGGTATAAATACTGAAAAGCAAACCAGATTTATTACTTTTATGCTGGATACCATGAGCTTTGTATAGTAAACCAATATTTAAACAAAGTATTAATATACCAACATTATAACTTTAAAGCATGTTTTGAATCATTAGATTTTGAACTAGTTTGTTTATCTTATATCGCGATCTCAAAATTTGTTTGCTAGAATTTATAGGTGCCAGTTTATAATTAACCCTCCAGAGGTAAAACAAGAGATCTCATGATTTGTATTTAAAATTTTGACCATGTGACATAAGACCTGAAACCATAAAATATATATAAGAAAATAATGGGAAAACACTACAAGACACACATCTCAGTAACATTTTTAAAGACTCATCATCCAAAGCAAAGAAAGTCAAGGAAAAGATAAACACCTGGGATTACATCAAACTGGAAACTTTCTGTACAGCAAAAGAGAGATTAACCAAAACAAAGATACCGTACTGATTGGGAAAAATTTTTTACACTCCATAGAACTGGTAAGGGTCTGATCCAAGATATACAAAGAACTCACGCGACTCAACAAAAACAAAGTAAACAATCCAGTCAAGTAATGGGCAGAAGAACTTAAAAGACATTTCTCCAAAGAGGAAATGCAAATGGCCAACAGGCATATGAAAATGTTCAACGTCCCTTATTATCAGGGAAATGCAAATCAAAACCACATTGAGATACTACCTTACACCAGTAAGAATGCCACATATCAAAAAAAGTAGCAACAACAAATGTTGGTGAGAATGTGATGAAAAAAGAACTCTTGTACATTGGTGGTGGGAGTGCAAACTGGTCCAACCACTATGGAAAGCTGTCTGGAGGTTCCTCATTCTACTAAAAATGGAGCTACCATATGACCCAGAAATTCCACTCCTAGGCATCTACCCAAAGGGCACAAAAAACATTGATTCAAAAGAACACCTGTTCCCTTATGTTTATTGCAGCACTATTTACAATAGGTAAAACCTGGAAACAACCCAAATGCCCAAAAATAGATGACTGGATCAAGAAGATGTTGTATATATACACACAATGGATTATTTAGCAATCAAGAAAGATAAAACTCATGCCATTCGCAGCAACATGGATGGAGCTGGAAGGAATTATGCTCAGTGAAATAAGTCAGAAGGAAAAAGAAAAATATCGGATGGTTTCACTTATAGCAGGAATATAGGGGAACCAAATAAGACATCAGTGTAAAAAAATACTAACAATACAAAACACAAAGCAAAAGCAGACAATTATAAATCAAACATCCTGCAGGGGAAGAGGAGGGAGAGGGATCAGAGGGAGGGAGGAGCACAGGGGACTGAGGTGATGGTGCACAGGTGCATTGGTGAAGTAAATTCTATGAGGACTACACCTGCGTGGGTGTGGGGAAACAAATATTATTCAAAAATGAACAATGATGTAAATAAAATTTTTTTTAGAAATAAAATAAAGAGGGCCTTTCTAGTGGTGCAAGTGTTAACACGCAACCTATGAAGCTATTTGCAGTCACTGCAGCATGAGTTCGATTCCTGGCCAGTCATGGAGCAACCCACATGGCACAGCAGACCTCTCTTGACTTGCCCCACTGCTCCCTTCAGCAGTGCCAATCTGCCTGTTCTGTGCCCCACTCTGTCTCTGGTGAATCCTCTCACCCCCCCATCTCTGGCCTGTACCCCAGTTCTTGTATGCATAAATAAATAAATCTTTAGAAAAAAATAAAAGAAAGAAAAAAAATAGAATTTTGGCCATGGGCACCAGTTTTAAGAGTTATTTTAGCAATATTTGTGAAGACACTCATAAACCTGTTATTGATTTAATCTTAGTTATTTAGCAAGTTCTTTAGATGAAACACAATTTAAATTTGCATTTTTAAGAAAATGGCTCTTTGGCTTTCTGGAAGCTGTAAACATAATTTACATTAGTTTTTTTTTAAGGTCAGAAAAAATCTTTTTAAATCTTAAGAGAGGATTAGAATACCTTAAAAAAAAAAAAACAGGTTTTAGTTCGACACTCCCTTTTAGTTATGTTTTTCATAAACCTCAAGGTTTTCAATGAGATAGAAGTTAAAATTCCAATATAGTATAAGTGTCCAATTTTAACCATTACATCAAACCTAGAAGTGAAGACAATTTTAAAGATAAGAAGAAAAAATAAACATACGATTGTTTTTTTTTTTTTTTTCCAAATCAGGCAGGGAACCAGTTTCTTCAAGACAAGAGAGCACCTATTTATAGACTGTGAGGGCAAGAGAGACAATAGATTAAGATCTTTTGCCTTTTGAACTAATCAAGCATCTTGTTAGTAAGCCTGTTAGTAAGACCAAAATAATTTGATGTATTTTTTAAACTGACCAAATATCTCAAAAGTGGAAGACATGGCAAAAATATAAATTTTTACCCATGAAACAGGCCAGAAGAGATGAAAAGGAGAAACCTAGTCCCCCCCAAGGCTGTGTGGTGTTTGGACATACCAATGATCTCAGCATTGGAGCAAAGGTCCAGGCAGCTATTAGCTGAGAACAATGGGTGTCCGACCCACATGTGTCAGCCAGGGTGGTATTCCCCACTTTATTTTCCAGCATTTATTATCTTTTGCCTCAGCCAAAGCGAAGGTTTAGAGAATGCTCTTATAGCTGAGTGTAATCCTTTTGGGTTAATATGCAAATATGTCAGGCTGAATTAAAAGACAACCCAGAGTAGAGTCTGCAGGAATAGAGTGAGCAGACCCCATCACCGATGAGTGCCTGAAAGAGGGGGGTTAGCCACCGGCATACCCCCAGAGAGTGGGGAGCATCCACAGGCATACCCCAAGGGTGGGGAGCAGCCATGGGTATACTCCCCAGTGGAGCACTCCTGTTTTTGTGCACCTCCCCATGCTGAGGAAGAACTCCCCCAGGTCTGAGCATCCACAGGCCTCGACGTACTATCTGTCCCTGCCATTCTCTCTTCTCTGGGTGGAAAGGAAGGCTGTGTCGGACTCTTTTTTTTGTTGTTTTATTTAATAAAGATCATTTGCATTTGGCCCACGTATAGCTGATCTTAATATCAGTTAACAAATAAGGAAACCCGTTGGCATTTAATAAGATGATTTTCAATGGAGGACCAGAGGCCTGCCTCTGACACTGTAGGATCTAAAATAGCTGACCGGAGTTGTCTTAGTTCCTCACGAGTCTTAAAGTTAAGGCAGATATCACAAGAACGCTTAACCAAGGAGAGGAAATCTGGTTCCCATAGCAAGGGAAGGAGACTATCAAAGCACTGGTGATGGAGGAAGGCACCTAAAAGAGAGCGGGAGCTCCGAGAGGGGGAGCTCTACTTAAGCAAGAAAAAGGCTGGGGGCTTCCCTGGTGGAGCAAGGGGTCAAGACGCAGCACAATGAAGCACAGTAGTTAGGCAAAAGTCGCAGGTTCTGAGCAAGGTGTGGGCTGTAAGACACCAGGACAGGAACACACACCCAGGAGCCTCTTAGCTTACCTATGGGCTCTTCTATGGGCATAAGTGACTTCAGGAAACTGAGCCAGAAAATTTCTTGATTCAGATGAATCTCATAGACTCCTCATGACTAAAAACAATAACATGGATCAATGTGGGATCATTTGCAGCAAAATAATTATAACAGCAGAAGTAAACAGGATTTCCAGAGTACTCCCACACACTGAAATCGCCAATTCCTACAAAACAAAAAAAAATTAAAATTTCTATTACAAAACGCTACCACAATTTTAATCACAATTTTTCTTAGCACTTTAGGGAATTACTAGTAGGCAGAGTGACATCCATAGCATTCATCTATCTGTGCATCTATTCAAGTAAAGACCTACTTACATAAAACTTACATATCCCCATTATGTATCCCTATGTATGTTTCTATATCCATGCCATTCATCTACATATCTATAAAACTGTTTATATCTGTATCTGAACACCTTCATTATTATGTCTGTATTATATCTCTGTATCTGCTTAAAAACCCTGGAATGGCATATATATACACAACTCATGTGCACCCAGGTGAACAGGCCTAGAAGCACACATGAAAATGTGTGTATATACATAGGTGTTAAGATTCTCCCCACCCAAATATTGGTATATTCGCTATGAAATGTAAGCTCTATTTTGTTTATTTTTTTTTTTTAATTTATTTATTTATTTATTTATACAAGCACTGGGTACAGTCAGAAGCGCGGGAGGGTGAGAGAATTCACCAGAGCCAGAGCAGGGAGCAGAGCAGGCAGAGGGACCGAAGTACACTGCTGAGGGGAGCAGCGGGCGGCAGGAGAGGTCTGCGCGCCATGTGGGACCCTCCTCCAGTGGCCGGGGAGCAGCCGGGGATTGAACCGGCGCCGCAGAGGCTACGGGCAGCTTCGCAACCCAGCGCTCAACCGCTGCGCCACCAGGGGAAGCCCAGCTCTATTTTGTTTAAACAGTGACTAAAGTTACCTTCCACAGGTGAATGGGAGACCTGTTCAGGTAGTCACAGCAATGGTGTGTGATAGCTGAATAGCAGTTTTGTACATGAAAGATATGACGGGGGTGGATCCCTCAGGTCATCCATAGGGGGTGGGCACTAAAAGAGTCAAGCAAGTTCCACGGTTGTATGTACATGGTGGGGAGGGGATGGGGTAGGCAGTTTCCTAAACCAGAGTTGTGAGTTGTGAGTTCAGCTGGTTTTCCTGGAGGCATCTGTAGGTAAAATTTGGAGCTGGAGTTTCAAAGGCATCAAGAACCTCCCAGTGACCCTCCAAACACCCCCACCTCTACACTGACATATGCCCTACCGCGATGCTGACCATCCACCCACTGGTCTCTCGGTGACCTGGCGGGGCCTCTTTCACTACAGGATTTCAGACTCCCTTTCTCTATTTTTTTCTCTCACTGCTTATTTCTGAACAGAAATTTTGTAGTCGGGAGGTAACAGAATAATCTAAAAAGGGGAGGATCTATGTTCCCTGCCTCACCTATTGGAGGGTGCTGGTGAGCATAGAGGGAGGAGAAGCTAAAAAAGGAGTCTCAGAAAGAAGCCTTGGCGGAGGCCATGTGGAGCAGACAGACAGGTGAAGAAGAAGCCACACCTGCTTTTTGGCCTCGGACTTGCACCAGGGACTTGGGGGACATGGAATTAGACACTTGAAAGAGACATGGATGACAGACCCATGGGGAAGCTGACAATGGTAGCCTTTATCTTGACTTGTTATTTTGATTTTGCTCTTTTTCTTCCAGACCTGCCTGGCCTCTTCTGTCCCTTTCCTATGATTCTCCAGAAGGTGCCTTAGACTGTGGCAAGATTTTGGGCCTCAGTTGTCCTGCTTTGAACCAATCCCGTTTGGCTGATCATTTACCTACAAGGGGATGGGTAACTTTGGGTGTTTCATTGGGAAACTGTATTCTTTCTTTTGTCTTCTATTACACATTAATTGTATTAAGGTTCTTTTCTATCATAGGTCTTACACACTAATAGTATGTTTTTGAACTTATGTGGTGAATGGCAGAACCCATTTAGAGCTTGCAGGCTTGGGGATCCCAGAGTGCCCTTCATTCTTCCCACTAACAAGAATTCAGTTTGGAAGATCCACAGATCTTCAAGAGCCTCCTTCTGGGTTCCAGCATCCTGGGGACATGCCCCTCTAAGTATGGAATGAAGGTCTTAGTGTGAGAACTTCTGGAACACAGAATAGGTCCTTAGAGCTTTGAGAACACTGCAAACCAAACCTGGAGCAGGGAGGAAGCCTGAGGAGGAGCAGAGGTAAGGCAGGGATGATGGTAACTGAGATGTTGCCCCTCTTTCTGCTGAAGGTTCAGTGTTGTTCCTGGAGCTCAGGGAACAAATTTAAGAGGACAAAACGTACTTGAATTTTATTTCATTAGGGTCAGTGGTTCTCAAAGTGGGGTCCCCAGCATCAGCAGAATCACTTGGTAACTCCCCAGAACTGTTGATCAGAATTGTGTGCACCTGGAGACTAAGAATTACTGTGTCATCTTTCAGGGAATTTAGGATAACAAAAGGGTCTTTTTTGTGAGTGTCTCTCCAGTGCAAGACCACATGCCAGGTCTTTTAATAAACATCAGCTCACAAAATCCTCACAGATGGGGTAGTGAGTCTCAGAGCAAATGCTTTCATCCATGCTCTGCATTGTGTCTCAACAAGGCAGGGGGTTGGCATCAAGGGATGGGCCCACCTAGGGGCCTGGGAGTTCAGGAGTACAGGACAGAGGATATAGCAGTTGCATCTCTGGTGACACTGAAGACATTTACTCCCTTGGAAATGTTTGAGAGCAAAGGACTTGCTGTTTGCCTACAGAAAACAAACTGTCTGTATCTATTATCCATTATTCATCACCCATGGGGAGATGCATTTAAAAGTAATTCTTAAATAAGGAGTCTTGCCAGAAAGATGGTGTAAGAGGAAGTTTCCTGCGTTGTGCTGAAGAGACTAAATAACACAAATGTCCTCAGAGGAATACTATAACAAAGGGAGAGAACAAATCTCCAGAGACATGAAAGTTCAAAATAACAATGACAAAGAAGTTCAAATAAATGATAAAAACACAGAAAAGCTGATCAAAGATATATAAGAAGATACACAAAAATGAATGTCCTGAGAAATAAAATTAATAAAAAGATCACAATTGAAATTTCATGTAAGAAAATAATAGAGATTCAGGATGTAGAATGATCAATAGAGGAGATAAAAAAAAATCTGGAAAAAATTATGGAAGTAGAATAGAACAAATGGAAGATTAATCAGTGACCTTGAAGATGATAATGCATAAAGAATTCAGGTAGAAGAAGAAAGAGAAATGTGAAGAAAATAATGAATTATCCCATTTTCTTTTTTTTTGAGATTTATTTATTTATATAAGAACTGGGGCACAGTCAGAGGGGTGGGAGGGTGAGAGAACTCACCAGAGACAGAGTGGGGAGCAGAACAGGGAGACGGACCAAAGATACTGCTGAGGGGAGCAGCTGGCAAGGCAGGAGAGGTCCGATGTGCCACTTGGGTTTCTCCCTAGCAGGCCCTGCCAGCCGGGAATCCAACTGGGGCTGCAGAGGCAGCAGACAGCTTCATAGCACTGCGTGTGGTGCTCAAACTGCTGCAGCGCTCAAACCGCTGTGGTACTGGAGAGGCCCAGAATTATCCCATTTTATGAGGACAGGCAATATATGAATAATGAGTATAACAGAAATGGAAGAGAGAAGAGCACAGAGAACTTATTTAAAGAAATAACAGAGTTGGTGGCACAAGGGGTTAAACACAGCACTATGAAGCTATCTGTAGCCACTGCAGCACGAGTTCAATCCCCAGCCAGGGAGCTGATCCACATGGCGCAGCAGACCTCTCCTGACTCGCCCTCTGCTCCCCTCAACAGTGTATTTCAGTCAGTCTGCCTGTTTGGTTCCCCACTCAGTCTCTGGTGAGTCCTCTCATCCCCCACACCTCTGGCTTACACCTCAGCTCTTGCATGCATAAATAAATAAGCCTTTAAAATACAACAACACAAAACCTTAAAAAAAATAAAGAAATAACAGAGGAAAACTTCTCAACCCTGGAGAAGGAATGAAATGCACCACAAGTTTACACAAACAAAATGAGACACACACTAAGACACAGCAGTGAAACTTCCTAGAATTGAAGACAAAGAAAGAATATTGAAGCCTGGGTAAGGGAAAAGGCAGATAACCTATAAACGAAGGAGACCATAACTAAAACAAAGAGACACCATATTAAATGGGAGAAAATATTTGCACAACATACATCCAACAAGGGGTTGTGGGGAGGTGGGGTGAGAGGATTCACCAGAGACAGAGTGGGGAGCAGAACAGGCGGACTGACTGAAATACACTGCTGAGGGGAGCAGCAGTTGAGACAGGAGAGGTCTGCTGCACCATGTGGGTTATCTCTTTGGGGATCAGACTCAAGTTGTGGTGGCTGACAATTCTTGATAGTGCTGTGTCTTTAACCCCTTGTGCCACCAGGGATGTCCTATTTTCAGTTCTTCTTATCCAATATGTATACCTTTTATTTTCATTGTTGCCTGACTACTCCAGCTAATACATCTAATATTAAATTAAATAGGAGTGCTGATAATGAGCATCCTTGTTTTGTTCCTTATCTTAAAAGGAAAGCTTTCACTTTTTCACCATTAGCATTGGCAACAGGTTTATATCATATGAGGTAGGTTTCTTCTATTCCCATTTTGTTTAAAAAAAAGTTCTTATCGGGCCTCCCTGGTGGCGCAGGGGTTAAATACAGCTCTATCAAGCTGTCGCCAGGCACTACAGCCTGAGTTTGATCCCAGGCCAGGGAGCTGACCTACATGGCACAGCAGACCTCTCCTGTCTTACCGGCTGCTCCCCTCAGTAGTGTGTTTCAGTAAATCTGCCAGTTCTGCTCCCCACTCTCTCTGGTGAATTCTCTCATCCCACCTCCCCACACCCCAGCACCTCTGTCTTACAAACCAGTTCTTGCATGCATAAATAAATAAATCTTTTAAAAAAAAAGTTCTTATAAATGGGTGCTGAATCTTGTCAAATGTTTTCTCTACGTCTATATCTATTACCATGTAATTTAAATCATTCCATTTGTTGATGAAATATATTACAGTGATTGATTTATGCATATTAACCCACCCTTGTGTCCATGGGGTAAATCCCATTTGATCCTGATGCATAA